AGTGCTTAACATTACCACCCCAACGGCCCAAACATCCACACTGAAGAACCAATTTCCGTTTAGATGGTGCGCAAACCATATGCGGTATCTAGGTATCGCAATAACCAGAGACCTGGACGACATGTATCGTACAAACTTCCTACCACTACTACAACGAATCCAACAAGATTTGAAAACGTGGACATATCCACACATCTCCTGGTTAGGCCGGATCGCAATACTTAAGATGAATATTCTACCACGGCTGTTATATTTATACCAGACGATTCCACAAGCTTTACCGACGGCATATTTCGCGTCACTACGTTCCGCGATGGTGAAGTTCATCTGGCATGGGAAACAGGCAAGACTACGACAGGAAGTCCTCTGCCTACCCCGAGCATGGGGGGGATTGGCACTCCCTGACCTCCGCAAATACCACCACGCGACAGTACTACAACGCGTCCTTGAATGGCATACCCAACCGGAACATAAACAATGGATCGAATTGGACAAACAACATATAGGCCCCTCCTTCTTGACATCAGTGTGGAATACGAAGAAGATGCCGCAGACGAATTTGGAACCATCCTCTACCGTGGCACAGACACTGAAAACGTGGGACTATATCAGAAAAGCTACTCACGTCTCTCCAGCACCGAGCCCGATGATCCAGATACAATACAACCCCCAGATAGGGGGAGGACTACCACGGACAGCATGGTCCTTCCTGGGAGAGAGGGAATCACACCCCATACATAAGGTGTTGACTAACGCAGATAAGATCCTCATATTACACCATAAATGCTCATCGAGCTCCCAATATCAAGAAACCAACTATAAACTTCTCTCATTCTGGTACAGAACACCCGACAGTCTACACAGGATCTTCCCGAATGTACCTGACATATGCTGGAGATGCGGAGATGAACGTGGTTCGCCACTGCACATATGGTGGGAATGCTCGCTCATTAAGCCATTCTGGGACGAAGTTCTACAGAAAATAAGAGATCTCACAGGGACGGAAGGAAACCTCAACACAGAGGCAGTCCTCCTACACTCAACATCGGATCCCATAAGCACATACAGGAAAAACATTCGTAGACACCTAATCAACGCAGCCAAGGCACTAATTCCATTATACTGGAAACAAACGATTACCCCGACGATAAGACAATGGTTGGAACTGGTGGAAGAAATATATAGAGCGGAATTAATACAGGCTACACTACGAGGACTAGAAGACAAGCATTTGGAGAGGTGGCGCCCGTGGCTACTCTACATAGCAGACCGAAACACAGATAGCAACGGCCGTTCGCAACCCCAAGGAGCCCCAGGACCACCCACAGACGGGGACTGATGCCTGGTCCGATACATACTACGCCGTGGTCACGGATGACGGGACCACCTCTCCCTTCATACTCCCCTATCCCCCCTCACCCAGCTCTCCCCTCCTCTTCCCCCCCCTCCTTTTCTCTTACTTCTTCCTCAATTAACACTCATCTTCTCTTTAAAACTCCCCAACAATAGCTTCATTATAAGTTATATGATAAACGTAGCCCGCCTTAATCTGAGATTGCCCACAATTGTGTCACTCACTCACATTTGCACGTCAAAATGTACGCAAACATCCTCATCACGCAACTATTCGACACGAGTAAGACAAGTCCCTGAACGACATCTGACATATGACGACGGACCAATAGACCTCACTACCCCAAAGAGAATGAGGCTTAAGGGTGATAAGGTAATACTAGAGGATCACATAAAACAGACGCAAGGCACAAACTTATGAATATCCCTCTATTCAAGCCGCATTCCGATCACTCATATGTATGTCTTAACGTGTTAAACGTGACCAAATGTCATATAGAAATACTAAGTAACATTGTTTGAGTGTTGTCTGCACACTTAATGTTGGGACCTGCGAGTCCGTTATTTGTTATTTACTTGTTCAATCAACTGATACTTGCTAATGTACACGGATCAGGGCATACCCTGAAATGCTTATGTTTGAATAAAGCCTTTTTTGAAATCCTATACCGAAACATAAAAGTACTTCTAAATAAAAACCTGTCATTTAATCCTAAAGTTAATGTGTCTATCTACTGTTATTGCGTTAAAGACGGCCCTGCCCAATATCACAAAAAAAAACAAGTTACCAGTCCCAAATATGATTCATCTCAAGGACAACAAGATGGACAGGGTCTGGATTAGAAACTACAGCAGCAGAAACCAAGGTTTTGTTTAGGCTTACAAATGCTTCTGGAGCTTAGGATACCAGTCCTTAGTGTTAGAATTATTTTTGGTTATTATTATTATTATTATTGCCATTTATATAGCGCCAACAGATTCCTTAGCGCTTTACAATATTATGAGAGGGGGGATTTAACTATAAATAGGACAATTACAAGAAAACTTACAGGAACGATAGGTTTAAGAGGACCCTGCTCAAACGTGCTTACAGTCTATAGGAGGTGGAGTATAAGACACGTTAGGACAGGAAATATCAATCAAATAGGGTGGGAGTGAAGCAGAGCTGGAGGAGAGGGTAGAGAGAGCAAGAGACAGGTATGTAAGGTAGAGGTTACTCTGGGAGGCCATAAGCTTTCCTGAAGAGATGGATGTTAAAGCTCTTCTTAAATGATTGAAGACTAGAGGAGAGTCTGATGGCGGTAGGCAGGCTATTCCATAGGAAAGGAGCCACCTGCGAGAGGTCCTGCAAGCGCGAGTTGGCTGTACGGGTGTGAGCAGCGGTCAGGAGGTGGTCACGGGCAGAGCGGAGGGAACAAGGAGGGTCATACCTATGGATCATTGAGGAGATATAAGAGGGGCTAGAATTGTTCAGTGCTTTAAATGTATGGGTTAGCACTTTGAATTGACTCCTATAGGATACAGGGAGCCAATGTAAGGACTGGCACAGGGGTGATGTGTGAGAAGACCGACTAGAGAGGAAAATCAGTCTAGCTGCAGCATTCATTACAGACTGTAGCGGGGCAATGCGGCTTTTGGGGAGACCAATCAGGAGAGGGTTATAGTAATCCATGCGGGAAATTACTAGAGACATGGACAAGCTCTTTGGTCGCATCTTGCGTAAGAAAGGGGCGGATGCGGGCTATGTTTTTGAGTTGGAACCTACAGGATTTGGCAACAAACTGGATGTGAGGCTCAAAGGTGAGGCCAGAGTCAAGTATGACGCCAAGACAGCGTGCTTGTAAGGATGGACTTAAATGGATATCACTGACTTGAAGGGAGAGCGAGAGAGGAGGATCAGTATAAGGAGGAGGAAAGACAAGGAGTTCAGTTTTAGAGAGATTGAGTTTCAGAAAGTGTGAGGACATCCAGTCAGAGATGGAAGAAAGGCAAGCAGTGACACGTTGCAGGAAGGCAGGGGAGAGGTCCGGGGAGGAGAGGTATATCTGAGTGTCATCAGTGTACAGGTGGTAGTTGAATCCAAAAGAGGCAATGGTGGTAATAGGTGGAAGTATTGAGGGAAAGCCTTTAATAGATCCTGGATAATAAGCAACAGATGTGATATTGCTTTGGATGTCTTTTAGGCTACACAATAAAAGCCAACATAAGATGGTTGATAACTTTTCTGAATCAATCTGGAATCCTGAACCAGGTTTGATGTGCTCACAGTAAAAACTGTTGAATAGTAATCTTTGCGGTATTTGACTAAAATGATATTACTATGAGATCAAATCAGGTAAATTAATGGGTATACCATCAAGATAGAGTATGCAAATTATTGTAGAAAATTTCATGGTATGTTAGGCGTGGGAGGTGCGGGCGAACAGGAAGATGAGCCTCGCTGATGCATTCATTATAAACTATAACAGGACAAGTTAGGAACACGTAAGACCACTGAGAAGCGGATTACAGTAGTCAAGGCAAGAGAGGACAGCAGCATGGACAAGTACCTTTGCCGTATAAGGCGTTAAATAGGGTTGGATGCGCGCAATATTTTTGAGATGGAAGCGTTAGGAGTTGGCGATTGATTGGAAATGAGGGGTGAAGGAGAGGTCGGAGTCAAAGAGAACACCTAGGCAGTGAGCCTTTGAGGTAGAGCGGATGGTAGCACCATTCACTGGAGGGACACAGACAAGGGAGTAGCAACACTTGAGGTAAGGAAGAGCAGATGTTCTGTTTTGGACAGGTTCAGTTTAAGGATATGACCACCCAACCAGTTGGAAATAGCAGAAAGGCAGTCAGAGACACGAGTCAAGAGGGGTGGTGAGAAATCAGGGGAGGACAAATAATTTTGCGTGTCATCCGCATAGAAATGATACTGGAAGTCGAAGGAGCTGATGAGTTTACCACTGGAGGCAGTGTAGATTGAGACCAATAGGGCACCAAGGACAGACCCTTGGGGAACACCAACAGAGAGAATTGGGGAGAGGAGGCAGAGCCAAAAAAAGAAACACTGAATGAAGGCTAGGAGAGGTAGGAAGAGTACCAGGAGAGAGCGGTATCTAGTAGACAGATTACGGAGGATGAGAAGAAGCTGTTGATGATCAACAGTGTCAAAAGCAGCATAAAATCTAAGAGAATTAGGATAGAGTAGTGGCCATGGGATTTAGCAGTGATAAGATCATTGTATACTTTGGTCACAGCTGTTTCAACAGAGTGACAAGCACGGAATCCAGACTGAAGCGGGTCAAGCAGAGAGTTGGATTCGAGGAAGTCTGTCAATCTCGCATACACAACTCTCTCAAGGATCTTGGAGACAAATGGAGGTAGCAAGATAGGGCGGTAGTTGGGCGGGGAATTAGTGTGAAGGTTGGGCTTTTTCAGAATCAGGGTTATGGTTGCATGTTTGAAGTGTAGAGGAAATATGCCAGAGGAGAGGGAGAGATTGAAAATTAAAAATTTTAATGAGATGCAGAGCTAGAGAAGGAGACAAAGTGTGGTTGAGATATAAGGGAATAGGATCGAGGGAACATGTGGTGAGGCGGGAGGAATGGAGCAGAAAAGAAACCTCTTCTGCTGTAGCAGGTGCAAATGAGCGTAGGACAGCTGAGGGAGTGTGGTTAGGGGAAAAGTTTGTAGTGTATGGAGAGAGATGAGAGATCTCTTTTCTGATTGTAGAAATCTTCTCAGTGTAGTGAGTTGCAAAGTTTGTGGGGGTCAAGTTGGTAGGAGGAGGAGGCACGGTGAAGAGAGTTAAAAGCATGAAACAGTAGTTTGGGTTCGCGGGAGAGTGTGGTTATGAGTGTATTGAAGTAGTTTTCTTTTGAAGAGAAAAGAGCCAGACTGTAGGAGTGCAGCATAAATTTATAGTTGTGGAAGTCAGACGCAAAGTGAGACTTTCTCCAGCAGCGTTCAGCAGTTCTGGAAATTTTTGGGAGGTATTGGGTTAAATTGGTGTGCCAGGGTTGGAATTGAGGGTGCTTAGTGAATTTAAGTGTAGGAGGTTCCATGATGTCTAGTTGTAGGGGGAGGTTGAAGAATTAGGGCAGGTGAGATTTCAGATGTGTGAAAGGAGACTTTAAAGGTTGGTGAAGAATTGCTGTAGGTCTAGACAATGGAGGTTTCTGCAAGACTGATGTGGTGAGGGTGAGGTATTTTGGGTACGGGTTCAATGGACAGCAGATGGTGGTCAGATAGAGGAAATGGAACATTGGAAAGATTAGAGTTGGTAAAGAGATTGGTAAAGATGAGGTCAAGAGTATTTCCTGCTCTATAAGTTTATGAATTAGACCACTGTGTGAGTCCAACGGAGGAGGTTATAGAGAGCAGATAAGAGGCATCAGGGCAGTTAGGGTTGTTGATTGGGATATTAAAGTCCCCAAGAATGAGGTAAGTTGTGCAAGAGGAGAGGAAATGGGGTAGCCAGGTAGAAATGTTTTCAATAAATAGCCTAGGATGACTGGGGGGGAGGGATAAATTATCGGAGTGGGTTTAAATAGACAGACAGTGTAAACTTCAAAGGAAGTAAAGGATAGTGCAGGGGCAGGGAGGTTAGGTTGAAAGGTACATTGAGGGGAGAGAAGGATGCCTACACTACCTCCTTTACAGTTGTTTGGTCTGGAAGTGTGGGAGAATTGTAGCCCACCATTACATAAGGAAGCAGGAGTAGCAGTATCAGAGGGGGACAGCCAGGTCTCAGTGAGTACAAGAAGTGTGAAAGAATTTGAGATGAAGAGGTCGTGTATGGCTGTTGATTTTATATTGCTGCAGATGGAGCGAACTTTCCATCTTTATTGGTGAATTCTTGGAAAAAGAACAAAACATTGTAATTTCCAGAGAGTATGATAGTGTTTTCGGATTACCTACTTCAGTATTAAAGGCATTCTTCCATTCTTGCCCTTCCACTGCATGGAGGAATTCTGAAAGCCTACTAAGATGTAGCTTAGTAAACACAATGGAGTCTTTGTGTTTGTCAAATAATTTGGTTATCAAATGTATGGTATAGGCATTACTTCTGGAAATGCAATATTTAAGCCTCTGTAATAAACAGTGATAATGATCACTTACTCTTTCTTTTTTTAACTACTAAGAAAACCCAGACTAATCTGGAGAAAAAGGATGCTGTATTAAAGGACCACTATAGTGCCAGGAAAACATACTCATTTTCCTGGCACTATAGTGCCCTGAGGGTGCCCCCACCCTCAGGGTCCCCCTCCCGCCGGGCTGGATGGCGAGGAAAGGGGTTAAACTTACCTTTATTCCAGCACCGGGCGGGGAGCTCTCCTCCTTCTCTCAGCCTCCGATCCTCCTTTTCGGCTGAATGCGCATGCGTGGCAGGGGCTGCGCGCGCATTCAGCCTGTCTCATAGGAAAGCATCCATTATTTGTTGATGTAAAAAAGATCCTATACCTTACATTAAACACTTAAGTTTTGGGGGGCCGGAGCTTGACAGGGAAACCGACCAGACCCCATTTCTGGCGGCTCACAATATTACAACACAATCTACTCATTATCCCGACTTTGCAGACCCATCCAGCCTCTTGAACATCGAGTCCTGGTAGAGACCGCTCAATGCCCTTTTTGTATACCCCGAAGCTGGCGAAGCCAAAACGCAGAACGGAGGCCTACCTGAAACAGACGATCCCCAGTCTGGAGCAGTTCTTGAGTGGGGCCTACACCGATAGATCGGCAGACATGCTGCAGCACCAGCCTGCTAAGGTCACACTAGCAATGGGACGCCGATCCCAGAGACCCCAGCAGGGTACCTAGACCGACCAGCGAGATATTGGAACCTTGCTCCAGCGGCATGCCCCAACCAAGATGCTGTCCATGGATGCAATCAACAGCCGACCACAGCAGCAATCGGAGGTACAGAACCTGCCACTAAGCAGGACCTACAACACTTACAAACTATGCTGCAGGAAATCCATAGCTTGCTGACCACTGACTTGCCTGCTCTCAAAACAAGTATGCAGCAGGTATCAGAAAAGATGAAGGCCACAGAGGGGGATGTCAGGGAAATCCGGGTGAGATGTCCACAATGCAGGACTCCATACTCCAACTACAAACTAATTAACAAGCCCTGTTCCTGCCACTCTCGGCACAAGAAGATAGACACCACCGCAACAATGTGAAGATCAGAGGCATACCATCGGCAATCACGAAGGACGAATTGTCACACTATATACGGCGACTCCTGGCCTCAATCTTACCACCCGCCTACACCGGTGCTGAGATTTACCGCCTCCCTACACTGGTGAAAACTGCCGCACCTGCCGTAGGAGATGTCATTCTTCGCTGTTCAATATCCCAAGATAAGGGGCATATCATTACCGCGGTGAGGGGTAAACACCATTGTTATTTGAAGATTCACAATTGACTTTCTACTAGGACCTGACTAAGTCCACACTACAATGAAGAAGGTCCCTAAGCGCAGTCACCAGCCACCTACGCTTGGCAGGGGTGGTCTATAGATGGGGGATGCCAAGAGCCCTTTTCTTCACTCACAGCGGGACAACTCACAAACTAACCAATGGCGCCGAAGCACATACAATCTCGTCAGCGCTGGGCTTCGCGGACGTGTTGGTTGCCATTTCTGACCAGGAAAAATTCTGACGCTCTAAACTGCCTATGTATTCGGCTTCGAGAAAACCTTTTACACCATTGTGATATGACCAAACTCAATGATAGAATAGGCACAAGGCTGGTTTTCTCCCACATATGTACCTGGAATATCATCAACAGGTACCCAACTCCCCCGTTGCCCCCTTGGTTAGGGGTATCGCCCTTCTAGAGTAGGCTATTAAGCCCCTCCATACGCTGCTCCTTCTATTAAAGGCTATGTTATTCATGCATACTACTCATGCTAGCTCTTCTCTCAGGGCATCATTAAATTGGAAATTGTTAACTATTACTAATCCAGTATAAATGCCCCAACATATTCACACCCATTTCAGACCACTCTGTACCATACCATACTGTACTGTACCTCACCCACCTAGTGCTTACCGAAGTGTCTCTGTTACACTATTTTCCACCATGTTTGCTAAAAAATGTTTGTGAAAAAATATATAAATAAAAAGTGCAGAACCTCAGCAACACTGTATGTGAACTCATGTACAATGTCTTACAACTCATCATTTTGTATACTGTACATGTTTTCAATGCAATGCATGCAAAAAAAAAAGAATTATAAAAAAAAAAAAAAAAAGGAAAAACACTTACGTTTAATCACCCACAATAACACATAAAAGATGTATCAAAACTTTAATGGAAGCCATTTTGCTTTAGAGATAACAAGTTTGTTTTTTTTTTTTTGTTTTTTTAAATCAGTCTGTCCCTATTTAAGCAAACCACTGACTAAGGATTCTTAATTACTTAGCTTTATATGTGTGATCTGCTCTGACTTCTACATGCTGCTGCTATGCTTATACAACTCTACTAAATGTCAACATTTGGATTATGGACTCATAGTAAGAACAAGAATGGCCACATAAACTGGAGCTGTGAATGTTATGGAAGTTGTTACACCTATTCTCACATCTAAAAATTACTTGGTATAGAAGTTAAGAATACAGAGTGAGCTTTTGGGAAAAGATCTCTGGGACATAGTGGAAGAATCTCCACTAGCAGCTGATGCATTAAAAATCCTGTGGGATAAAGAGGGTGGTTTGTGCCATATTAAGAACTTTAAGACAGCCAAGAAATTGTGGAGAGGCTTAGGAGAATTGTATGGAAGTAGCAGTCTAAATGAAAGACTTAATTTATAAATAAAACTGTTCAATATGTAGCTGTCCGAGGGAGGAGACATAGATAAACATATGAATCAAATGTCAGAGTTAATTGATTATTTAGATTCTATTGGAAAGAAATTTGATGAAGATACATTGATTCTGATTTTATCAGGTCTGCCAGAAAGCTATAATTAATGCAATCTCTCTCTAAAATGTTACAGTATGTCGTAAAGAAGAGTCAGTAAGGTGAGCTGAAAATGCAGGAGGAAGTGAAACACAAACATTTGCAATACAAAACACTGAGCAGCATATCATAAGAAAAAAATCAGCATGTAACAGCAGTCAAAGCAATACTTTTGTATGCAATTGTTTTTAAAAAAAACAAATTAAGAATGTTTATTTATGAAGATAAAACTCATCTTGCTAGAAACCTATTAAAAAGGATTTTGAAGAATTAATTAAAGGGGCTTTCTAATAAATATGGCTGTATTGTTATAGTGTCTTATACTAGAGGGCGTCGATGACAACGCTACTGAATAGACGTCTTTTCAGAGGGCTCCGCAAGGCCCAGGGAAAAAAGGAGATTAAAGCCACCAAAAATGACATCCTAACAACAAAAACACAGACCCCCCCCCCCAAAATAGAGAGAATGGGCGCAAAAACAAGAAACCATACCACCCAGAGGTGCTTAGACTGCCCAATATACGGCTTTCCTTTGAGCTGCCGGTGCCACAACAGCAACCTAAGATGGCGCCTGAGGCCCAGTATGACCCGGAGGCGTTGGAGGCCTCACAGGAAGACGAAGAGGCTTTCCCTTCCCCCCGATCGGAGGAATCTGAGGAGGACGAGGCACCCTCAACAAAAGGGGACATAAAACACCTCCTGGTGGACCTCCAACATGTCTGGAAGGAGGATCTCCAGGTGATCCAGGTGGAAATAGGGGTGGTCCATCAAAAAGTCTGGGACTTGGAGGTGAGAGAGGCCTCCAGAGAAGTGAAGTCTCAAAGCACAGAAAATGAATTGAAAGAACTCACCTCTCGGGTGCAGCACTTAAGCAGAGTGGTGACTACACTGGAGGTCCGCCACAGATGAAGAAACCTGCGCATCCCGAAAATGGTTGACAATGCAAAGCTCCTACGATGTGTTCATGATCTACTGATTTCAATGGGCATGGAAAGCAGCTCAGACTCCCCACCGATCACCTCGGCGTTCAGGGTGCGGAAATCAGCAACGGCACCAAATGGAGCACCCAGGGACATTATAGTGGTGACCAGGGACGTTGCAGTGAGGTCTGAGATTATGACAAGATCCAGAGAGATGGGGTCAATACCCTATAAAGGCAACAGAGTGGATATATATGCTGATCTCCCATTCTCGGTCCTAACAGTGAGGAGGAAGTTGGCACCAATTGCCAGAAGACTGCGAGACTCAGCAATCAGGTACCGCCGAGGTATGGAGGGATCCCTCACAGCTGACAAGGTGGGAGAGACATTCACTCTAACATCCCTAGAGGATCCTGAACAATTCCTGCAAAAATTAGGCATGTCCCCCCGTCCACAGCCGAGAACCTCAGCGCCCACACAGAGGACCGATAAACGGGAGGACACGGCCAAACGCAAATATAAACACCAGGAGGTGTTACCAAGGGGTAATAATATCAGCCAAGAGTTCCAGCCTTGAAACCATGAGTATTGGACAGACTACACAGTTCCTAGCACACTCAGAAGCTCATATGCCTAGACATTTGCAGACACTCGACTCTTTACTACTCTACTAATACCTGCTAAGCATAATAGCTCAGGCAATTGTGAGACAGCTAGATAGAACAACCATAGACTTATTTTTAGTTCATACACCTATATGTGTTCTTGTTATGACAAACATGTTTTTCCTTTCACATATACTGGAAAAGTTGTACTACATTAGTAACAACTTAATAAAATACAAATTAAAAAATGGCACGTCTGCAAATCAAAATAAATAAAAATTAAAACATTTAAAAAAAATAGTATTTGATAAAAAAAAATGGTTAAAAGGAAACCACAGAAAAGGAAAAGCCTACCCATGGCAGAATAAAACACAGGAATATGATTTATTTTATTGTTCAAGAAAAGGCAGATACAGTTATAAAAAAATAAATCATTACTGCGCAACACAGCATTCAGCCCAGACATGAACCCAAAAGACTTTTCGCACTATGAATATAATTACCTCTATAGGATCTACCACTTCTTTGCAGGAGGAAAACTACTTCCGTACAAAGATCTCCCCCAACAACACACACCATACAACACCCACGATTTTTTCAGACACATACAGCTAAAGAGCTTTCTGGAACTCCCGGAAAACACAACAGCAGCCACCACCAGACACACACCATTTGAACGAGCATGTATACACAACCCAGCCCGCAAGGGCCAGATCACAGACAACTACACATTACTAATTACTGCTCATCCCCCAGGAGCAATGGCCTATGTGGCAGCTTGGGAGAGGGACCTGGGACCACCGGAGGACCCAACAGATTGGCAGGATATATGGGAGGCCACGGCTTCTATCTCTATATGTGTCAATCACAAGGAACAGGCCTACAAAACACTACTAAGATAGTATCTAACTCCCGCACGACTATACCACATGGGTAAGACTGACACAGACCCCTGCTGGAAACAGTGTGGACAAAGGGGAACATATATTCACCAATGGTGGCAATGCCCAAAGCTAGCACCACTATGGGCAGAGGTCGCCCGTCTGGTCTCCAACTTACTCCACATAGACATTCCCCCTAGACCTATGGATATGGGTCCTATCCAAACCCTGGGAACCCTTAACCAGAGCCCAAAACAAACTAACAAATAGAATGGCCCTGGCAACCAGAAGGGCAATAGCAGAACTCTAGGTCACCCCTGAGGTCCCCACATTGTCCACAATTATCCGTAAAACTAGGGAAGCCATCGAAATGGACAGACTCTCAGCCCAGGTCCACGAGACGTCACACCACTTTAAAAAAATATGGGACCCGTGGCTGAACGAACCTTCCCTATCATAACCGAATCTCACTACACCATAGCCCTCACAAATGGCCAACAGAAGCCTAGAACAGCATAGGAACCTGAGCGTGGAACCCAACAGCAAATCACACAGGGAAGACCCCACAAAGGCCCGCACCCGTAACCCAACAGGGTAAGCCCACAACAGATCCTAACTGGCACCCAAAATTCCAGAATAGAACCACCAAAGACTCCCGTGAACACAACACACAACCCCTGAGACCAACGGTTGAATTTGTTTATACTTGAATGTATATTTATGTTTATACTTAAGTTACACTGTTTTATATGGTTTCACTATCTTGTAACCTGTCAACATGCGACCAATGCAAAAGTACAGACGAAAACTAGCTACGCAAAAACGAATGTTTATAAACTGATGTAATACATGTTATGCGATACATGTCTATAGCAATGTTGAAAAATAACTATGAAAAATGAAAAATAAAGAATGTTTAAAAAAATAATAAATAAATCATTGTAGTATTGATTCAGGTTCAACAATGCACATGTGCAAAGATTCTAATTTCTTCAAAAACTGCATTACTAATGCCTACAAACTGCATATACAAGAAAGAGGGGACAGTTTCCTGAAATGTGTTGCAAAATTAGAGGCATTAAACAACAAAGTGCAAAATGTAATTTACTTATCTGCATTTTCTCAATGTTTCAGCATTAACCAAGTGTGGATATAATGTGAACTTCAATTGAAATAAATGTATAAAAAATGGCCATATTATTCACAAGGTTTTGAAAGCAATGATGTATTTTTATTAAACACAAACAAACAAACAAGCCAACATAGCCAATGATTGCTCAAACTGTGTCTACCTTTGATATCAAAGACTTGGACACAGAGATTTAAAGGCAATTTCTGACCTGCAAAGTAAAGGTTTGGCAAGAAGAATAGACATGAAACTTTGTCAAAAGTAATGCAACAGACGCAATACTTTTGCAAATATGTTAATGTTATCTAATAGGGAAAGGTAAAAGGCCCCCTATTCCTAAACAGAGTCAAAGAAACTCAGTTAAGCCTCTGCAACACAATCACTCAGAAAAATGTGGTCCAATGCAGCCAATATCTTGTGGTTATAATAAATATTTACAAACCTTTATTGATGATTATTCCAGATACTGCATGACTCTCTCATAAAAGACTAAGCGGAAACTGCAGAGGAGTTGAATACCTACATTGTAAGTGTTGAGAAACCTGTTTGGGAGAACACCTCAAGCACTTCAACTGATAATGGTGGTGAATACACGTCACACCACATTACTGCATATTTAGAAGAGATAGGGATAGGAAACTTGCATATAGTACCATAGAGTCCAGAACAGAATGGTGTACCTGAAAAAATTATTACTCTTAATGGAGATTGTCAGGCACGAGCTGACAGATTCACAAATGACCCATGAATACTGGGGTGATGCAGTTATGACAACTACATTTTACAAAACAGACTACCTACAAATAAAACTCAATTTAAGGGATAGGGCTATACAGCTCTAGTGGATCGCAGCATGTTGCTGAGCTCTTCAGCATTTCGAGCCCTAAAGCGATATTAGAGCGTTCTACACTTGGCATGGAAAACCAAAAAAAAGGATCTAGAGATGAATGGCATCCTGGGGGACAGAAATCTTTATCCCAAACTAAATATTTTCGGGATACAACAGCCACAGGGGTCGAGTCCAAAAAAATCACAGTATGGTGCCAGTGACCTATGCGGAAGAACAAGCACCTGGCAGTTCAGCACCATCTGACTGCTCTACATTGGTCTCTGACAGCGATGTCCTTGAATTATTTAAGCACTTATCCATGAATTATTCTAACCCCAATTGTTCATACTTTAGAATTGAAATGTTCTTTGTGCCCCAACAGTTTCTCTTTTAACTGGGGGCTTGGATCAGACCAATTACCGTTACAATCCAGGTTCCCAACACAGAAATATGCACTCGGCAAAATAGCAGTTTAAGATGGACAACAGGTACCTACTAGATCAGAACTCCATTTACTTGCCAGGGAAAGGCACCATGGGCAGGAAGAATAAAAAAAACAAGGGTGGAAAAGGGTCTGATGAGCCAGGACATTGGTGAACTTCTGCGGGGCGCCTGGGACAAAATGGCGCTAGACGGTGAGGAAACCTGCTGCTCCTCAGAAGACTTTTCTTTCGATCCAGACAACAGGGTATCACTGGGATGGCCCAGAGCGAAACATTGCGGCCGACATGGCCTTCATTAAAGACGCCATAGAAGGCGCAACTTCCAGCCTCACTCTACTGGAGGCCACAACGAGCACCCAAGACTCCAGGATAACATCCCTGGAAAACAAAATAGCTGTCATCGAGAAACAACATGCCCTAGAAGATCAGAGTAAGCAATATAATTTAAAGATTCGTGGAATTCCTGATTCAGTAGGCATATCTGACTTACCCCACTATGTCAGTCTCCTGCTTTCTAGCATATTACTACCAAGACAAACCAATGCAGTAAAACTAGACAGCATGTTCTGCTTACCGAAGAAATTTTTCAGCACCAGCAGCTGTGCACGGTGACCCGATCCTGCGCTTCCAAGCTGTACAGGAAAAAGCCATTCTCATGACAGCCACTCATGGGAAGACTCTCTTCCCAGATCACCAGGAGCACTGTAGTGAGGTACAAGACCCTACAGCCGCTCCAACAAACCCTCAGACAGAAGGACATCCGGTATAGATGGGGCTTACCAAAATGGCTGCTATTCTCATACATGGGCACTTCATACTGAGTGAGGAATCTCTCAGAGCTGAAGCCATCCTTTGCGAACTGCGCCTTGTGGAACCCCTTAAGAACAGGTGAATCAGGCCTGGCACAGCTGGATCCCTTTAGGTTTGCAGAGTTCACTTCCCGCAAGACCCAGCATCCAGCTCCCACACAGGACACAACATGAGATGCCACGCTCATTACCTGTCCTACCAGAGACAGCAGATGTCCACCATCATGGACCCTGCAGAGCTGAACTTACTAAATACCTTAAACCCTTTTCTTTTTTTATACCTCAGTTTTTTGTTTTGTTTGCTTTTACTGTTATACCTTACCACTGATGTAGCGGCAGAACGAGGTTATACCTCAACAGTATTTGGCACCAGGCCAAGTATGGCTTAGTACCCAAAAGTGAAATACTCAACTTGCACAAACCCGCTGAGGAAGTTGCAGGCCTACACACCCAATACCCGTTCTAATATGCTAATAAATTAATGAAATGCCAGGTCCTGACATCATTAGCATTATTCTATGATTCTAAATGGCAGAGAATTGAGCAGTAAGACTGCAAAGGCATGATCTATACACCAAAACTGCTTCATTAAGCTAAAGTTATTTTGGTGACTATAGTGTTACTTTAAGTTTCTTTAATATGTTTCAGTTCTTATGTATCAGCATTGTTCAACACAGTTTACGTGCATTATTTTTGGGCTATATACACTGAGAAATATTTGAATTTGCAATATAATTGTTTTTTTTGAATGGCAAAACAGATGAAGAACTTTACATCAGGGATCGACCGATATTGATTTTTTTAGAGCTGATACCGATAATCTGTGAACTGTCAGGCCGATAGCCGATAACTTACCGATATTCTGTACATTTACCATTTTGAAAAAAAAAAACTATTTCTAAAGGTAAATGCACAAAATATACATGCCACATGTAGTGGATGCAGTGTGTTTAGACAGGGGAGCAGTGTGTGTTTGTGTAGTGTGTGTAGTGGATGCAGTGTGTATTTGTTTAGTGTGTATATAATGAATGCAGAGTGTGTTTGTGTAGTGTGTGTATAGTGAATGCAGTGTTTGTGTAGTGTGTATATATAGTGAATGCAGAGTGTGTGTTTGTGTAGTGTGTGTATAGTGAGTGCAGTGATCAGGGTGTTGCAGTAAAGATCAGGGTGTTGCGGTGGATGTGATCTACTTGGATTTTGCCATGGCATTTGATACGGTTCCTCACAATAAGTTAGTCTTCAAACTAAAAGAAATTGGTCTAGATTAATATTCTTGTTCTTGGGTTGAACATTGGCTTAAGGATAGAGTACAACGAGTTGTCATTAATGGTAAGTTTTCAGGCTGGACAAAAGTGGTAAGTGGTGTCCCTCAGGGTTCTGTTTTGGGACAGCATCTATTTAACATATTTGTAAATAATCTTGAAATAGGCATTGAAAGCCATGTATCAGTGTTTGCAGATGACACAAAAATTTGTCTGCTTTTTTGGACATTATTGAATACACTTGCATGTATTGTTGCCTTCTTTTAAAAAACAATAAGAAAAATTATAATAAAAAAACAAACTAGATTTGAACTTTGGTTTGGCATTACCCTAACTTTATGCACATTGAACATTTGGATCCAAAGCTTATGCATTTGTTCCAGTTCCTAAATGGTCCAAACTTGACTACAGAACCGAGATAAGCATCATAAATTAATATGAGAGAAGATGTAAAGGCTACAGAATACTGAATCTAGAGACAGGAGATATAGTGAGAAACTAGTGCAATGAGGTTAGTTTGACATGACCTATGTTTCATAAAACCATGCTGATTATTGCTAATAACAAAGTTCTTCCCAATGAATTCCTAAATATTATCCCTTAGTGCTTTATATATTTTAGCAGTCACAGAAGTTAAGCTCACAGGTCTATAATTTCCAGGCAAGAATTTTGAACCCTTTTTAAGGGAACATAGGAACAACATCTGCCTTCCTCCAATCCTCCGGTACAATACCTGAAACAAAATAATTTAAAAAAATTAAATACAGAGGTTCACTTATTTCCCCTGCAAGGATGGGCAAATGGTAGATCCCCAGCTGGCATAGCATCGTGGAAGTTGTATGGCAGATGGTTATCTATCTTTTTGCCACTCATGTGTTAGAGGGGGGCCCAAAAGATGTTCTTGCACCAGGGCCCTCTCTACATTAGTTCTGCCACTCGTGTGCATATATAATTATCAGGATTTGCTCATTATGCTTTTCAGGCATCTGCAAACCTCTCCTGCTAAGTAAACTGCGCAGAGCAATGACTGATGATATCACTGCACTGTGTAGGGAGTGAAGCAGGAAAGACCATAGAGAATAACTGTTGGATTCCAAAACTGTTCAGCCAAAGGTGCATGCATATGGATCCTCTCATATACCAACGCTAGGTTTAATTTTTTTGTCACTTTTTTGACATATACCTTATTTAAAACAATACTTCCTTTTAATATGATGATGATGATGATGAAAGGATTCCTATATTAAAAAAAATATTTGAGGTGTCCTTTAATAACTCATATGTTTGCTCAGCTCCGACTTTTACATGCTGCTGCTTAGCTAATACTCTGCAAAATTTCAAAAGAAATGTTCCTTTAAAGGAGCTTTTAAAAAATTATTTAATAAGCAAAAGACTATACACACATTTATTACTGTTTATACAGTATTATATGGATAGAAGGCATCCATGGTAAAATACTTGCAGTGTACAAAGGGTTACATGTTCACATTTCTGGTTTAAGATTTCTTTTGGTGCTGGATTGAATAGCTTGATCAGAAGTGCTGGATTAATTGCTCGATCAGAGGTGCTGGATTTAATTGCTTTATTAGAGGTGCTAGGCTGAATTGCAGCCAGTAATGGCATCTCTCCATACAGGAGATCGCTTAGTGGTGCGAAAAAGGAGTAGGCCAGTCTTTTGTTGTTGCCTCTATAATGATGCGGGACACTACCCATGCCATGCTTTATTGAATACGACATAGTACACCGTAGTGTACCACATTATAATTTTATAAATCTGTTATTGCAATACACGAACGCTTTAGAGGTTGCTTGCCAATTTTCTTGTCAATGCCCACTCTCCATCCCTTCTTCCAAGTCCACCTCCTATTAGGCTATGCAATTGGTCACAGTACTCCCAGATGGACCAAAAAAACAACAGGAAATGTAAAGAAGCAATAAATCCCTTCTGCAGGAATCTTTTTTAACACACATGGATTCAAATGCATGAATCCCACCTGTCACCTAATGGCATCATCAACACACTTGACTGCTTGTAACCTTAAACCTGTGATATAATCAAAGTCCAAAAAAGGCCATATTCAATGTGGGGGTTAAAAAAAAAAAAAAGCCTATCTGAGGAAGTTACTGTGGGGCACAAAACACGTAAACATACCCTGTTGGATCTCTCTCCACCCTCTGGCTTAGCCAAGGTTTTACTTTTAATGGATTTATCAATAAAAAAAATGTATGCTATTAACAGAACCTATGAAGACTCTGTTTGAGACCAGCATTTTCTTTATTTTTAGTATTGCAGAAAGAACATCTCTTGACGGAATTCCTAACGTGAATTCATTTATGGACTTAATAAACTACAAGGTATTACTCTGGGTCTGATCTATACCTCACAATTTCCAAAAGGAAAGCTTGAAATTGTGAGATTAACAAGTAAATAATAAGTTAGGCTTGGTTTAAAATTAAATTCTGTGAATGTTGAATTGTAAGTACTTTGAAAACTGATTGGCTGAAAACAATATTCCAAGACTAGTTTGTAATTTACCCAAATAATTGATAAGTAGTATACAAGGAAAGATACACTGAGAGTCCTGGTTATCTGTCATCACCCAAAATGATCATAATAACTTTATTAATTATTAAAGGCTAAGGAAAAGCAGGAATTACTCTCCATCTGAACAACGAACTACTAGGAATTATAATGTTGATAAGTTTTTCTAGAATAGCTCTGTACCCTGCCTGGACACACCTTTAACTACACCTTCTAAAATGAAAGTGTCTCTCTTTAGCCATTTGTAATATTGGAGGATACACATCTTTTAATCCTGGTGCAGTGCATTTTGTTTATGCATTGCATTCCACATTATCAAAAGAACTGCCTTTCTCTCCTCTTAAGATTCTCCCTTTTTTTTTTTTTTTTTTAAATCCGCTGTCCTCTCTCTCCCTTTTTATTCCCCTGGGATATGATACACATTCTGTAATCCTCTTTCATAAAGTCTTCTATCAGTATGAAACAGACTGAGTAACTGTGCAGGCTTCACTGTCTTAGTTTGTGGATAGGAGAGACCTTCTGTCTGTGAAAGTACTGAGAGGTCACAGCTGTTTACATGTCCTTGATTTGGCACAAAGACACTGCACATCCCAGAAATGCTTATGGAAAATAATCTTGCATTTAATCCTAAATTAACCAGTACAAAATGTAATTCCACGACTATTTTCACTTTAAAATTATCTTAGTCCAATTACTACCACTTTCCCTTAAAAAAAATAAAATGAAATAAATAGAATGACACATTATGCAATTTATAAGATTTTTATATATATATATATCAAATGGAGTATTTCATCCTCTTCAAGAAAAGAAAATTGCCTTTGATTGAATTATACATAGAAAGTGTGGGACTGGCTATATGTTGGATCAGGTGTGACCAGGTTTATTTTGTTAGATTACATCACTGAACGTAGGTTAGATCTAGTTCATGCGTGTGGCAGGAGAGAAGATAAAAGAATTCAGAATAATCATCATTCAGATGAATTTTCATTAGATCAGGTATAATAAAGCATGTATTAAGATTTAATAACATGCAAAGGACAATATTTACAGTCATTTAAAGAACACTGTAGGCACCTTAACTATTTCAATTAACTAAAGCGGTTGTGCTGCCTGGAGTTCTATGTTTTAAACCATTCTTATGTTTCACAGGGATAAAGGATCCCTTAGCACTTACAGCAAGTCCCACAGTGACTGTATGGCAAGACGGGGAGTAGCTCCACCTTACGCCATACCGGGCAGTGATAGTCTGACAGTGTCATCTGATGTTCTCAGCCTATCACTCACAGTCTGGTATGACTTGGTGACTCTCCATCTGAACTACGAAATCTGAATTATAATGTTGCATCTATAATTACAATCAAAGGGACTAGAACATATCAAAGGGGCCAGAACACTCGGGCAGCATAGTCAGGAAATTATGGTAAGGAAATTAAATTAAGCCAAGAAAACCTTGTAGGAAATTGTAAATTTCCAAATCTTCCCCACATGTACCCGCACACCATAGGGAGATAGAGGTTTAGTAATTTAACTGCATTCAACAATTGAACACTGTGAATCTTTTACAAATCTCAATGTGGTGAGATATACTATTGACAAACATAGCAGCAGACTGGAAGGGAACAGAGCTAGTTTTATTGTTCCTGTCATATGTGGAGCACTGGTTCTGTACCAGCTCAGACCTCCCATACGTGTTTGTGGTTGAGGACAGTGTGAAGTGTAAAATAGGCAGTGTACCACACCATTAAGATAGTGACATATTTGAGGTTTGAGATTAGAATGGAGCGCAAGGGGAAAAAAAAAAGAGGGAGGGAGGGAGGAAAGCTGCAGTCTAAAAATGGGAAAACCTAGAACCTATCACAGATGACTTAAAATAAATATAATAAAAGACTGCGCTATGACATAGAAACCAGCAAATTTCTAGAAGAATTCTAAAAATAATAATAGCTATAAACTCAAATATAAGGGAATAAAAGAAATGAGTATTAAGGAAATATATATAATAAAACTAGCACACAAATAAAAAAATAAAAGAACCAGATATACTATATACAAAATTCAATAAAATATGACAAATTTATTCACAGATAAAAAAATTTCCTTAATACACACTTTTGTATTTCCTTATATTTGAGTTTATTATTATTTTAAGAATTCTTCCAGAGATGTGCTGGTTTCTAGTTTATAGCTTGATCCTTTATAATATTTATTGCTTCACCTTGGAAAAAATTTAATTTTAATAACAGAGTTCCCTCATTTCAGAGCAGTGCGTAACCATTCTTGTGTCTTTTTTTTATTTTTTATAATTGCTTGTAGTATCTGTTCTGAATTAATATCACATAAATATCGAAGATATATTTCTTTGCAAATGGTGTTTTTGAGGTTGATCAAAGTTCTGGAAAGGTAAGCTGGTGGATCAGTTGCATACAATGAATGGTCTGATTGTAGTTCAGTTTTGTTAATAGTGTTGGGTCATCAGCTGGAAGAAGAGAACCAACATGGATTATTGATTTACCCATTACATTATTATTATTTTATTATTTATACAGCGCCAACAAATTCCGTAGCGCTGTACAATGGGTGGACTAACAGACACATAATTGAGATCAGACCCCTGACGTACAGGAACAGAGGGGGTTGAGGGCCCTGCTTGATGAGGTTACATGCTAGAGGGAGTGGGGTATAGTGACACAAAGGGTTAAAGTAGGGGAATTAAATAGTTTGTTACAGAAGGGTTTATTGAGTGTACTCTAAAGGGACATATTGGGAAGGAGATTTTGTAAGCCATCTACCCTGTAATTGTATCTTCAGCAGAACCGATGGTATGTCTAAATCCAATGGGTGTATGCCGTAATACTACTACTAATAATGGTACAAGGCCAGATATATTGTCAAAGGTTTTTTTTCCCTCTAACTGCAAACATTACATCATTACTAATTTTAATGCAACTGCCAACATCGTTTGACTTACTTTATCATCAGATGGATGTGCAAACAGCCTACTTACATGCTCTGATTGAAGGTCTATGTAGAACAACCAGAGGGTTTTGACGTCAACTTAAAATATAAAGAGAAATTAGTTTTCAACTTGAATAAGCCATTGTACTCTTTCAAGTAGTCATGTAGAAATTGGAATATGATGTTGCATGACCATTTAAGTATACATGGGTTTGAGCAAAATCCAGCAGATCACTGTATATACTCCAAGCAATAGAAGATGAGGAAGTAATACTAATTATATGGGTTGATGATTTCATTATTGGTTCCAGTGATTAAACATTACTCAATGATCTAAAATAAATACTTATAGCAAAATGTAAGATGCATTTTCCAAGTATCTCCTCCAACAAATGATCCTGTGAAAAGGTATTGAGAGGTAGTAGATAGCTTACTATATGAAATGACCTGTATAATACAAGATGTATAGATGGATATTTAGTAAATTGTCACAATGCTTTTGAAAACCAACAGAACAATATTTGATCACAGCTAAACACGTGACAAGGTACCTGAAATAAATTATTGAATATGAGTTGTGCTACAAGTCGTGTAATCAAAACCTGGAACACAGGGCGTATAGTGATTGATGCTGATTGGGCCTCTAATGTTAATGATAGAAGAAGTATGATAGGATTCTTCTTTAGTCTAAATAGGAAAGGTCCACTGATTGCATGGAATTTTAACAGTCAACAGTAGCTTTATATTCATGCTAAGGTGAATACATGGTTTTAGCTAAGACTACACAAGAGAATTTATAGCTAGTGCAGCTACTCAGAGTGATCTACAAAAGATGTCAATATAAACCAGTACAAATCTTTGAGGACAATCAAGGTGCAATAGCTCTTTCAAGGTATCCAGTTTGTTGTCAGAGATATATTGATATCAGATACCATTTAATTTGGTTACATAGGTTACAGTTCTTGAGTATTATCCAACCGACAAAATAATAGCAGATATGACAAAGCCTGTAAAAGATTCAAATTGGAAGCGCCCCATTGCTGCTATGAGAGGCATTGGATTGGCGGAAATAACCAGTAGTTGGTAGTTATGATTTCCCATGGCTGAGTTCAGCTACTTTGAAGGACCCTTCTTCCTTGGATTAGTGATGTTTGTTTTAGGCTGGTGTTGGCACTAATCTAAATTATTTTTTTAAACTCCATTATTACAAATACTTTTATTTATAATGCTAGAGTGTTCATCAAAGCAGTCAATCTAAGGGAAGTAGCGCCTGTAGGAATCTCCTCAGATCCGAGGCAGTATAGGGGATGAGAGGAGAAAACATAATATAGAGTTGTATATTTTAGATTGCTGTGATTATAAATAAAACAAAATGCACTTACAATTTTCTGGTGCTTACATTCACCTCCAGATATAAGCGCCCGGGCGGTACAATCCCTGTATGTGTGTGTGCTGTGGTCTTTATACGTATTAGAAAGCATATTCAGCTGTTCAAAAAATATTCCTTTTCCGGTACACAGCAATACTCCAATCCGATATTCTCAGTATATAGAGATGAGAATAAAAACAGCATGTAAGCAGTGCTCTCTGTATATTTTTTAGATGGATAAAAAAGGATAAAAGGAGGTATGCTCACAAACGGAGAGCAAAAATATGTATTGCTCAATCCCAATAGGCGTACGGGGTATAATCCCCACCAGGGATATCACTGAGCGAGTACTCCTGACCGCCGTGTGGATCGCATTCACCCAAAGCTTCCTTTAAACTATATCTCTTTTTCTACTTACTCTCTTCTCAGTGCTCTCACAGGAGCGGAGTTGAGGCTTTGTAGATCCTCCTGAAGCATCCGTAGCGGCTGGTCAGTATTGCGGCCTAGTGGTTGATACTGAGCGGTTGACACGGCAGATATCCCAGCCTCAACGTCCTGCAGGCCTCACAAACCCTCCCCCCACTATGGACCGGTTGGGGTCATCCCGGTCCACCACAGCACTACTTCAAGCAAGGTTCAATACTCACAAGCTGCAACGATCTGTCTGGGTTCTTACCTGAGAGGGGAGTCTGTAGTGAAGATATGTTGCTCATCCTTGCAGATAGACACGGTTCCCACGAAGACACGAAGTCCAGTCCCCAGTGCTGCAGACAAGCCAGGTAGAACAGGGCTAGAAATACTCCAAAGAATAGGAACTGCTGTGGCTCAAAGGCAGTGTAGCAGGCCCAGGTTCAAATACCCTGTTGGGCACTTCTGGGGCGACCACGTCTGGATGTCACAGTGAGAACTTACGTTCTAGGCTCTTCATAATAGTAGTACTCCTCATCGGGTTCACTATCTGAATCAAGAAAGTCCTTGAAAGTTATAGTCCCCAGTGCGGAATCCCTTTTCAGCATGGGGGTTTTGGTACAGCTGGAGAGCAGTCAAGATGGTTTTTTTTTTTTTAATTCTTTATTTTATTTTGTGCAACAAGATGTACAAACAAGCCGATGGTGCCCCAACATCAGGCACAGGTGTAGTTAAGCAATGCATTATCATGTCAGAATACAGTTGCACATTTTGGTGATGAAGGGTGCAAACGTATGGTCATTAATATTAGGTATGAGAAAACGTACGTGTTTCTGAGTATGAGAAAATACGCTAGGAAATTATAAGACACACAAACATTACCCTTAAGAATGTACTGCTGCGTACCCTCCCAATATAAACAGAAATTGGAGCGGTAGTCTCAAGGGGACTCAGGTGCTTTCTACGTTAGGGGTCTAATCGGTTTAAATGCTTAAACATCTGACCCATATTTCATTATACACACAATGCTCGGATATGGTGACCTCATAGTGAGGGTGCCAACAGACAGTCTATGGTTACACGTCTTGGTAGTTGCGCAGCACGTGGGTCATAGGCACATTTCATACGAGTAAGGTGGCTCCTGTGGGACAAATATGCTTGTGATATCCATTCAGCCTAGAGCTATGCAAGAAATTATGTCTTAGATATAACAAATGAGCGTGTTGTCTCAATCTATGCCATATTAACTAGTTCAGGTATAACTACATGTTACGTGCCGGCGCCTCTCCCGCAAGAGCCACATGTAATGAGCACAATTTAAGTTAGTAAAATACAATCGTTAATGTCTATTTCACTAAAGCCTGAGCATCGTTTATGGTCTAAAGCTGCGCATTTTAATACTTAGCAGGCTGGGGTGCCTTAGTGAACTTTCACCTTTTGTGGTGTTGCCGACCCTAAACACATCTTAATAGCAGACAGTAAAGTAATAATAACAAGGAATAGAAAAAATAAGAATAAAAAAACGGAGAATTATCAAAACATGTAAATTTGCAGTTTATCTCTTGTATGTTCAAAGAAATTGCCTTCCGGCGTGCCAAAAGCTTAGAACTTATAACTAAGGGTTACCGCAGTAGCCGCAAGTCAAGATCTTTTTTAATCTGGGTGTTGGTGGTAAGTACTTCTTGTTCCTCAGCATGAGCGGAGTTCACGGCTAGCAATGCCTTTTTGAACATTTGTAAATCCTTTATGCAGACTTTAGTACCATTAGAGGCGTAGGTATTGTGACAGACCCATCTGTATAACTATTATTGCTGGTTCGTCTAGTTTGCCTTCCTTTCGTGGAATTGCCTGCCCGTATACCCCTATTCGTATGTTTGACTTTTTACCGAATGAACTTACCGAACGGACGGCCACCCAGAAGATAAGTGTGCTGCTGGTTAACCTCTTGATTCCAATTAGAACGTTGTGGTTAACCGCAGACACCTCTTAAGTATAACCAATGCAGGGTGGTCGTCGTTCGTATGTCGACCGCGGCGGCTCAGTCGACAAAGCATGCGAACACTGGCCGTTCGGAAGTTTGGATTACACAAATGGACTGAACCCAGATAGCCATCCCATGGAGTCAATTGCATACCGAAAGACTGTAAAAGACTTTGACTCCATGGCGATTGAACTGTGCATATGGGATCTGAGCGCTATTCGCTAAGAATATGCACTCAGATCCAGGCAATCTGGGGATACATTGCACGAATGTAATATGTTCGGTAGTTGTGTAATTATTTATTTTCATGTGTTTTTTGTGGCTTACTTAAAATGGCGATTTGCCTCTGTCCTGGGAGATAATTTAATTACTTCTCAATTATCTCCAGGGCAGAGGGGAGGTAACCATGATGCATTATGGGAATATTTTGTGCCTGTATGTCTTAAAGTGCCATATGTCTGTCTGTCATTACAGTCTCTCATTTGGTCCCCTAGGGGAGTGTCCACCAAGTGGGAGACCTGCATAAATACGGGCGGGTAGCCCACAGTAAAGCCAGTTCTTGTTTTACCCTCAATGCGGAGCTTGGTCTCGTTATTGGGGGAATTTACTACACACAGTTAGCGACTGATTGCTGGGACCGTAAGCCGCTTGGAGGATATATTTGTTCGGCTATTAGCTGCAATTCATGGATTTATTGTTCGGGAGCTTGGAGCATCCGTACGGGTCCCGTTCGGGAGATTGGCGCATTCCCCTGGTTGCAGTTCGTACGGTGGAAGTATATACGAATGGAGCTTGTATTATTGCGAAAGGGGAAGCTTAACTAAACGGCGGTTTCACTCCTTTGTGCCAGGGGTGTCTTAACAGGTATAATCCGCAGGTAGGTCTTCCTTGGTTTTACTGGAAGTATCTTCAAAAGTAAGTGCAGACGACTCTGGAGCAGGAGATGGAGATTTTCTCAGTGAGGTCAAGCATGGGCAGGCATGCAGAGCTCATAGGACGAAGAATGGTAGTAGTCAGTCGGAGTGCTGGAGGCCTAGGTGGGCGAACAGGGCAATGAGATATGAAGTGTCCCTTCTGTCTACAATAAAAACAGAGGCCATGGCTTCTCCTCCAGTCTCTTTCTTCATGCGTCACTCTGAATTGGACAAGTCCTATTTCCATAGGTTCCTCAGGCAGGGTCGAGAGGAATATTGGTTACCTCTGGAATCTTCCTAGGAACCGGATCATAATAAGGCAACAAGGAGGTGTGTTGTTGGTACTTAGTCTCCCTGTTTTTTGGGAATCTGGGATCCTCTGGGGCGTGGAGCAGGCACAGTTGGCACAGTGGTTTTGCTAGAGGTCTTGCATTGCGAGTCCATAGCAGTTGTCACAAGCATGGGCTATAGGCCCAGCCGAGACAGTGGGGAGAGTGTGGAAGTGACAGAGTTAATGACACCAGACCCCTGGTTACCTGTTGCTAGTCCCAGCAACCACTCAATTAACCCATGCAATCCCTTCTAACCCCCTAGTACACACTTTACTGACACCACCAAGACTTTTAAACCCGGGCGTCTTAGGTTACCCCACACACAGGAGAATTATAGAATCACAGTTCTACTTTTACTGATCAAACACATATAATTAACCCTTTTTGGTAACGTGTTTACCTGAGCTTTCCTCTGGAGAGCGAAGCTCATAAAGAACAGAGACACAAGCTGATTAAGTAAACATTTAATCTGACAAAAAAAAAGATTCACAGTGCTGAGTACAAAATACAGAAATAAATGACATACAGATAACAAATTGCAAAATAGTACATAAAATAAAATAAGAGAAAACAAAAAATTCCTTACATGTATTTACCCCATATAGAATTCTTGTGGGAGTCTTAGATGGTATAGGTCTCCTAGAAGTTGCTGACCAAAGAAAAAATGAATAACTCCCTGGATAGTCCAGCACCCTCATTATATATCTAAACTAGTTGTTTCTCAGTGGGCAGACCCCTGGGGGGGGGATCAGAGGGGGTTGGTCTGGCAGTTTATTGCCCACTCTATGCAATTCCTTGTGTCCAGCTCTGGTAATGGCTATCTAGATGTTTTATGGTCTAGGCCTGGTGCCAGATCAAAGACCACAATAAATGTCATCCCAAGGTTTACAAAAAACAACTCTTATCAACACACATCAAACACCAACTCATGCTTTTGGCATGACAGCAGTCATAAAGGATTTCCAAGGACAGAACTCTTAGACTGCAACGTCTAGTGTGCCCATGTTTTGATCTTTCCAGACAGCAGATTGATAGCTGCTCGGACCATAATAAATTCGGTAGCATAAGTCCGAGGCTTCAAGGCAAATACCAATTCGCAATCCACCTTAAAACACTTGAAGGATGTGCGGCTACCGTCAAATTTCTCAGGAAAAATGACGAACTGCTCAGGATAAGCAGGTTCTGGGGCTGGGTGCACTGCGCCTTTAAGAATAATGACTTCTCGCTGCAACTCCGAAACAGTCTGGGCCAGGCTGGACACTTGCTGGGTAAGCTGCTTGCATATTTCTGTGGACTCCATGATGATCAAGTCTTTTGTCAGGGTTCTTACCTGAGATGGGAGTCTGTGGCGCAGTTATGTTGCTCACCCTTGCAGACAGACACAGTCTAAGGTTAGCCAGATAAGAAGCCATCTAGACTGTGAATCTGTGCACAGGGCCTATGCAGAAAAGGTTATTCCAATGCAGTACCGACAAGGACACAAACAGCAGGATAGTCAAGGGATAAGATGGCGGCTGACTGCTCTGAGACAAATCCTGGGTGCCATGCCTACCTCACACACCCAGGCAGCAAGATTCGATCAGCTTTGTGCAACGTTCTGGCAGCAATTGCAGAGGAATCCAGGGGTTGATGTCGGAGCGGGGACAACACCACCTCAGCCTACCTCTCCTCAGCTTGGCAACTTTGCTAAAGCCTCCAGGGTGGGCATGACTAGACCTCTCCTGAAACAAGGAAAAAGGGGGAGACGATGGCAAAGAATCTGGAATCCATCTGCCCTCCATATCCTCCAGGGTAGGCATGACTAGACCTCTCCTGAAACAAGGACAAAGGGGGAGACGATGGCAAAGAATCAAGTCAACAGAAAAAACAGGCAGTGGATCCTCCTGGGGGGGCACTCCAGGACACACATCTCCACATGCAAACGGAGAGATGAAAGTTAGATCAAGGTGGCTCCTTGGCAATTACCCGGGGACTGCACATCATACCTTTAGAAGTGGAGTGGGATGAGTTGCATGGACTGCTTCAGGATCTGGTCTTACCCAAACGTGTTATTCAACAGGTTCAGCCCGATTAGCTTGCAGCTACTTTTATTTAATTTCATTTAATTATAATGTTTTCAGAGTGCCTGTGCCTTTCAGATTTTGTTTTTGCACTGTTCTTATATATACCTATACTGGGCCTCTACTCTCCATATCTAATGCTAATTGCGATCCTGTATCTTGATTAATGTTGTTGTGTTTCTAAACAAACAAACCTTTTTAACTAGCGTTGCATAATTTTAACTATATTGTCTTCTTAGATAGCACATTAATGCAACTGCTTACTCCTCTTACTATTACTTTATACAAAAAAAAAAAAAAAGTGCAGTGTTCTTGTCATTTTGCAATATGCATACACCCTTTCTTGACATTTATGGTTCATGCGAAAATTCTGCTTTAACCTGTTTGTTCTCTTTTGCGCTACAAAAATAAAGAATATTAAAAAAATAGTAAAAGCAAATATAGCATAAAATAATTTGTAAAACACTAATGCATTTCGTTCACAGTAAGGCTTTCTTAAAGTAACACTCATCAACACAACCTGTCTCTACGGAAGACATCCCTCAAAGATCAACAATGTCGCAATAATAGTAAGATCCATGGCATCCCTGCAGAGATAACGGCGCAAGAACTACCACCTTATATCTGGAGGCTGTTGGCTTTAATCTTATCGCCTGCAGTGGCCAAGAAACT